TAACAGTGAAAAGTTTTTCAACTGTAAAATTGATACTTTTATGCGGAGATCATCTGGAGTCTCGGCGAGTACAACTTAACTGCCGCTAAATTTAATTTTAGCGAGTATTCTCTTAGATTCTAAGCACACGACAAAGTCGCTGGACACCAGTTAATGAGCTCGAGCTGTGCGCACTTTCGAATACCAAATATTCGTTTGTTTCGAGTGCAAAGTATCTCGATAAACCCCGTTTTACGGTCGTCGAAAATCATGTTGTAAATAATTTTGGTCTTTGTCCGTTACAGACTTTCTTGTACGTCCAGTGAGTTTATCCTCTTTTGTGTTCGTATGCTCTGTACGGAATTTCGAAAACCATATTCGAAAACAGGAAAAAGTAACAACGATTCTAATTTGGCGTTTATGGTGTTCTGTCATAATTTAGTTTGCCCTTTAGACATATATGAACTTTAGTTTTTGATTTCATTCATTTTTTGAAGCTTTCTAGCTTTATTTGAAACAAGCTATTGATCCCTGATTTTCATCCTTGACAAACAGTTAAGTTTTGCAATCAAAATTATTTAAAAGCGCCCCTACTTGTTATTTTGTAGACTAATTATATCGTTCTGTAGCTATTGAAAGAACCTGTGTACGCATTTGAACATTAAAATAATGTTGAAAACATAATCAGTACCTGTTGAGATATCTAATGTATGGTTTTAAAGGTATCCCTAGATGTCTATGAAACAATCGACAGTACCAACTGATGAACCTTGTATGCGATTTTGAAGCTCGATAATTTCGAATAATACTAATTGAGGTATTCGTAATTATACCCTGAACAGTGTATATTAAGTTTGCCATGAAGTTTGTAACACGTAGAAAAAAATGTCGGAGGCCTTATAACGTATCTACATATATAACCGGAAAAAGGATATTTATGAACAATTGTTAGAAGTAGAGTCCTCACTCACCTTTGGGCAGGTAAATTTAATTGTAGTCGTACTAGGCTTGAAGACGAGCCATGCGAAGGACTACCGCAACCACACCAGAAATCATTGAGCAAGTTCATAATATTGTTAGTGAAGATCCAAGTGTGACTCAGCATGAAATTGCTCATGTCATAGGCATCTCAGACGAACGAGTACTTCATATTTTACATGGAGAAGCACATATGAAAAAGCTGGGTCGAAACCAAACTAAGTGTATTGAAGTTAAGCGAAATTATATTGAATAAAAAAATATATTTCGTACCAAAAACAGTATTTTTTCATATCGAGCGCGAGGGATCAAAATCAAGTCCTTGTATGAAAGTGTTTTTTTTTTAAAGAAGATATATTTTCTCAACATCAGGCATAACTTATTAACCAAAGTAAAGCTGCAATATCCGAATAATTTCTTAAGATTGGACCGCCATAGCATATAGCTGCCATATAAACTGACCGATCAAAGTTCTTGTAAGGAAGCAAGCTAAGTAAAGTTTCTTATGTTTTTATTTTTAAAGATCGCAACCATTTCAAAAAACCACCTACACCAAAAAAGAACCCTGTTCATAATTTGATTCTGAACTATACCTATTTTATACCCTTATATGGTATTTAAAGTTTGTTTAACTTGATTCTCGGGTTAGTCGCTAGTAATTTTGTTACGCTGTATGTGTGTCTTTAATTTTATTTATTTACTTCTTTCATTTTTTCCATTGCTCTATATAAATAAACATTTACAGGTGTATACCCAAACAATTCAGTAGTTTGTAATTGCTTTGTTTATCTTTGCTGCGGATGGCCATCCGGTTGGCTTGAAAAGGTAAAGGTCAACTTCTTGTATGTGTGTGTTTGTGTATGTACTATGCAGTTTGTAAACAGATGTAATATTTGAAGAGCGTTTACCTGCCATTCGCTGCATAGACATATATGTACAATATACTCATTCATATACATATATATGGATATGTACATATACACCTGATCTTCTTGGCTGTAACCGCACACAGCGCTGATTCAACGCTCTTAGCGAGCCGAATTCGAAAGAAGAACGACATGCATCCACAAGCCAAGCCTAAGCGGCGTATCGATACCACTGAGTCAGCGCTTAAGAAATTAAAAAAAAAATGCATGGCTTTGACTTTATTTCGCTCAAAACCAAACAGTGATTCACTATTTGGAGATTTCGCAGTCTTAGGTCCATACCGGTTTCCGGCTCTTATTACTCGCCCGCTCGCTCCTAAACCCTACGCCTGGTGGGTTATGAGTTCCTTGACTGCTAGCTGAATGTACGTGACTAGCTTGTGCTATTTCTACACACACACACACACACGTACGCAAAGAAATTTGCGTTCGTTTCGCCATTCTGCATATCGAGTCTCCCGTCTTCCATTCTGCTATTCGTCCATGCGGGGGCAATCAAAGAAGTGTTTACTTTCATTATTTGCCGATGGATGACGGCACAATAGCCGGCGTTTGGCGAATTATGAGCTCATTAACATACATATTCATTTGCATATGAACGCTTTTAGCACTTCAATGCGTTATTATATATATATACGTACATATGGTATATAAAAAAAATATATATTAGCCGATTTATTAGACTTGAAGTCTTTTTTGTCTTAATTACTTTGGACGAAATGGTTATAATAGCATGAGACCGTTTTTGGAAAGACAGTCTTCATATAAATATAAATGCATATATTAATTTTTATGTAAGAAGATTTAAAATTTTTTGAATATAATTTTTAATTTAAAGTCGCCAATCCTTATGTCATATTCCTTATGACATATTCGCAAAAATATGGAAAAAATGCTGTTATTTTCTTGAATATTTTTTTACTTTACAAAAAGTGGAGAATTTATGAGCTTTACGACGCCGCGGCATACATAATTGATGAGTAAATTTTTTCACCCTTTTTCGGCACCCTTACATATGTAAGCATTTCCGGTGCTTATTAATAAAAACCTAAAAAATTGCTCGGACAAATAACTTTGAGTTCACAAAAGGCGACACTTTTTTTTATTTCTTTCTAAAAGTTGACGCCAATCCAAACTCCATATTCGACTTAACACTTGTCCAAATTCAGCATTATTCTCTTTTCTATCTTTTTCACAACATTATGAATCATAGACATATACTTTGAGAGCTAGAAAAGGTTTGTATCAATTAAGATTTTTTTTGTAAAAAGTTTAGATCGGAAAAAAGTAGTATTCGTTACCATTGTGCTATTCTGAATTTTTCTTAGAAGAAGTCAAAAAGATATTGCTACTTTATAAGATCACAAAAAACGATAAAGATAATATTGTGACACACAATGTCATAAATGAAACGAACTGTTAAATTTTAATAGCAATTGTACACAAAGCTTTCCCTTACACTGCAAAGCAAGATAAAACGTTAAAGTCGGTTGCACCCAAGCTATAATACCCTTCACAGGTGCATTTCATGTAGCAACTATATGTACATATAACTAAATCTGAAAACGTAACCGGCCAGCGGTCACTATAAATGGTAGATATTATATGCTATAGTGTGCCGATGCGAACAATTTTTGGTCTTGTGAAGATATCTTGTCAAATAAAGAAGGTTTCCGTGAATGGACTTGATTTTTTTCGATCAGTGGGCCGATATGGGGTTTTGAAGAAAAAGGCGTGATTTGTGCAGATTTTCAGATCGATATCTCAAAAACTTAAAGACTAGTAGTATCGCGTATATACTATATATTGTCATATAGACGATAAGATGTGTACATCGAACTTTTAATATTATTTATATTCAATTCCGGACACGACCGCTTTATAGGGAACTAACTGGCCGTGTGAGCAGCGGTGCACTTTATTTCATGACTTTGACTCATCTCCCGCGCTCTATGACGCCTACATCACATATTATGTTACAGAATAGTCGAGCAGGTTACCGCTCACTACGCGGATTTTTTCTTAATATTCGTGATATCTTACGAATGGAATGACCGAATCGAATAATTCAAAAAGTTATATATAAGGGTATTGAATCAGTCTTGAATATGAAGTAATTAATTTTGATAAGGATTTATACCAAGGTACAAATAAAGAGCTTTTACAAAGTAGGCATTTCAATGTTTTTTTTAAAAAAAACTAAAACAAAAACAGTTAGATATAAGCTGACGTGACATTTTTTGTAGACAATTATATGTTCTGTAAAGTCGTAGTACATTATTTTTTTCTATAATCAATTTTATTCGCAGCCCACGCTATGTAAGGAATTTTTTAGTTAATTTTTTTTTACACCTTGGGTTACATTATTGGAGATTTAGTCAAGATTCCTGACTTTTTTGAAAATATAATGCAGCCTATGTTCACCGGAGAGGGTATAGCTTTCCAACAGTAAAAGAATTTTTTAATCACAAACAATTAAAAACTTTCCTCTTTATAATAATAGTATAAGTAACTCTTCATTTGGTCTAATGAAATATAAGGTCAAGTTTTCTCAGTGGAAGACAAAATCAAACCCCAGTAAAATAGTAATAGATTAACAAAATACTATTAGTAAATCTTATAATTGCTTTTTAATTTTGCTGCTCTCTGTATTGTTCTCTCATATAGTATGAGAATCTCAGGAGATGATAAGTCTGTGATTTGGTGATTGGTTTGCCGATAGATCATCGACACATTTTTTAAAACCCTAGTTCCCATAATCCCATAGTTCTTAAAGAGTGATAATATTAGTATTTAAGAGGTAAAATCAGCCACATAGAAGACTACTAGAGATGTTAAGCTAATCAGATCAAGACACATTTATTTATAATTAATCTAATTATTAAGGTTGTTATAGCGGCATAATTTCTAAATTGTTTTGTGGACGGTTGTCGAGGTAATCGCCTTGGACGTATGTAAATCCGGATCGGTTCTAGTTAGGGATTTCTTAAACTTTATCTTTTTAAAGTACTAGTAATTTTCGTTCTAAACACAAAGAAAGAAATTTCTCTCAAATTCTTCGTTCACCTTCCAGTTCAATTATTTATGTTGGTATTCCTTTCTTTTCATATTTTTCAGGTTCCATTACTTGAACCACGTGACGAACCAGCACATATCCACTACGGCCATGATCCATATTCGGTGGAGCTGTCGAGCTGTCGCTCGGAAAACAGCGAAATTGTGCTGTCTTTAGTGCTTAAAAGCCACGATTGGACGGATTTGAGTGACAATAAGAAGGACAAAGTACTAGAGAAACTATCTAAGTTCTTCGCCATACCGAAGGTAAGAAAAATGCAATTCTTAACATAAATTTGTCTGCATGTAGGCAGGCACAAAACAGAAATAAGACATAAAATATTAAAAATAAGCAAAAAGAACGAAGTAAAATTAACAGTTGACTGATTTACCGTTTTCTACCTCTTAGGAATTCATCGTTATGGAATCTGCCACAAAACGTGAACTCAGCGAAATGCAGAAGGAAGCAATACGCAGAGGTTACAACAAGTGCCATAATAATAATAAACACCCACTGGGACGAGTTAGCTTTGTGGTAAGCAACAAATAAATTAAGAAATTCTCCACAGCGGAAGTAGAGAATGCTAGTCAGTTGAGATTTTGATTGCATTTAATACGCTCTGTATGTTTCTACCGGGTCATAAATATATTTGCATTTATTAACAAATATTAATTCTTTAATGAATTTTTTTTAATAATTTTATTTTTTTTATTTAATTAAATATTTTACCTTTTGTTTGTTTTTGAAAAAAATATATATAAATAAATTTTTTATATAAAATAAATTTTTTTTTTGGTCTAGCTCGGCTGTGGTTCTAAATTTTTCACCATGAGTGAACCTATAAAGAAACAGATAGGTGCTCAGATGAAAGACGGTTCTATTGACAATATAACGGGCGAAAAATTCGGCTGGTGGGTCATTTGGCGAAAGCTCTACAAATCGAGGTATTTAATTATAAACATAAATATATACGAATATTTTTTTTTAATTTAATAATAAATCTTGTATTTCTTATTATGCAGAGCGCAACGTAATCGCCGCCAAGCTGAGGGTTCCGGCGTTGATGAAGCCGATGATGCCGACTATGATTACGAGTACGATGACGATGATGAGGACGTTGTGTACGTATCCAACCCAATTAAAAAGTAATTTTTACAATATATTAATACTATACTTATACGTCTATGCTTCAAAAGTCAGGCAGCACTCAGTTTAAAAGAAATGTTTAATTGTAAATGCCGTTAGTTGAAAATTATGTTCCGTCTTTTCAGCAACCGATTTCATTACTGTTGAATTGTTTAGACACGATTGTCTTCGTTAAATTTTTTAAAACTTTAGTATCATTTCTCGTATAAAGAATGAATGACAAAAAATAGTATACCAAAAATTGGGTATAACTGGTATTTTCTCGTAACAGAAATTCGTGTATCCCAAATTGATAGATTTTGATTTCTTCATTGTTATTGCTGTAACAGCATACATTATACTACGAACAGTTTTAGGGAATACTGCAGAGAAGATAGCTCTTGCAGTGATTAGTCATACGCCTAGAGGTGGTTTCGAGTGTATAGAGTCATTAATACGCTTTCAGTAAATTAAATAAAGTACAACAAAATTTCTGTTAAATGTTGTAGAGTGTAGCAAGTTGTTGTTTTGGCTACAGCAATAATGTTATAATTTTGTGGAGATAACCGTAAAATATTTAATCATACTTATACCACACCTAGTGTGGTGAACTTGCACAAAAAATGGATAAAAGTAAATAAAATACAAGAAAGCTTCTTTTATATTTTTATATCTCTCGGAAACGACTAACAACTTCCATTTGTAGTTTAACAAACAAAATTTTGAAGCCGAAGCTTTGAAGAATAGCTTACAAAGAATATTGTAAATTCATCCAAGAAATTTCGTGTTCGTTCCTGGTTATCTAGAATCAATCATCCATGCTTGGTAAGATTTAAAGTACTATAAAGATTTCTCTAAAAAATGTGGATGTTATTGTAATGGGTTTTTTAATGTAAAGCTACCTAGATATTGTAATCGGTATCACCTAATGGTAGTTAGGTAATTAGTTTTAAACGCGAACCAATTTTTTTTGGCAGTGAGACGCCCTAACTTAACCTTAAAACTTCAAATAAAGTAAGCGAAAAAAAACTCCCACAAAAGTAAGCTTTTGTACAGATTTATTGCACAACATTTTCCCGCTAAAGTTTCATTTTAGTTTTGAAGTGAAACATAACCGACAATAATGAAAATTTCAAGTTTTACCGTTGCCATAGATAATTTATTAGAAAAATTCGTCTTTTTGAAGTGAAACATAACCTACCATATATAATTTATTAGAAACAAATCATTTAATTGAGTTTGTTATAAATTTACTATTTATTTTCAACAATTTGTAGCTAAATCTTAATTTTTTCAACTTTTAACTGTTTATTTTTTCAGTGAAACCGTAACAGAAGTGCCCGTAACCACCACACATGCTCATCGTCATCACCACGGTGTTGGACAGGTGAGTGTCAAGCGTTGTTTTAACAGTGTGTCACAAATTATATTTGTTGGTTTTGAAAAAAAGCAAAAAAAAAAGTGGTGTACTCACTCACTCATTTATTGGTCATTGCTCAGGGTTTCACTCATTTAAATACTGCACTTTTGTAATTAATAATCGATTTGTTGATTTATGAAAATTTGCTAAACCGAAAAACACATGCAAACATAACTCACACACACACGTAAACCTGGTAAACAGTATTGAGACATAGACATATACATACATACATACGTTTCACATTTGTTACGAATTTGTTATTGATCTAATGATGTTTTTCCTGGTCTCTTTTTTCTGCTCTCTGTCTTTTTCTGTGCTAACCTCTAAACGTTTTCTGTGATTCGAAACGTACATGAATTAAAAAAAATATATATATGCTGACAATTACAATACGTTTCAATTTATATTAACTAACCGTAAAAATATATATTATGCAAATATATATACATATGATAAATATATATAAATACATATATGCCTTCATTAAATTCACATCACCACATACGCACACACAAACACACATTTACGCACAACCCAACACACCCACTCACACCACCACCATCACTGTTGTCTTCTTGCACACGCATAACGGTATAGTCGAATATCGAGGATAACAAGCTGGAGTTGTCAGCGGCGTCCTCATCGCCGGCAGCCAGTGGCGCGAAAGAGGATGGCATACTCGCCGCTGTGGCTGCCGCCTCCTCGTCTAGTGCCAAACAGCCGTCGTCCGAACCGAACATATTGCTTCCACATAAACAGCCGAATATCGATGAGGAGATTGTCGAAAGCGTTTCACAATTGGAATCGGTCATCACGAAGACAATTGAAAATACAAAGAATCTCAAAGAGATACCGGTTATCGATGAAGACGACGAAGATGCACCGGTTGCGGTCGACATCGCCAAGGAATTGGATGTGCCAAATGCACTGGAGGAGCTCAATGGTGGTGCACTCAGCGTGGACAATGATTACGACAAGAATGTGAATTTAAATGAACAAAATCAACCGTTAAGCGCAAATGTCGGCCAACAAACGGTAAAAGTTGGCCAAAGCACAACAACCGCAGAAATACCGCTACATCTGCGTAATGAACCTGCTGATACTGACAATTTCGGTGCTCCGGAGTCAAACGCCTCTGCCGCAGACTTAGACTCAGCGCCTGCTATTGAGTCCAGCGCCGCGCTTAGTCACAGCTCGCTGGATCGCGCCCAAACCGAAGATTCGTTGATTAACGTATTTGATACAACAGCCGCCGCCGTTCTATTAGAAGCACGCACCATAACACCGGTAGCTAATACCTTAGAATTCGCCGTAAGCGGTGCCGAGTTGTCCAAGTCCGAGACAACTTCTTTGTTGCCACCAGCTTTGCACACACCAGCAATGAATGTTTCAACAACACAAGCACCCCATATATTGACCAATACTGCCACGACCTCATTATATGCATCATCATCATCCATATCGTCCTCCTCTTCATCACCATTATCATCATCTGTTTCGTCCCTCTCTCTGCCTAACTCCTCATCAATGCCCGCCTCATCTTCGTCTACGCCGTCGTCTGTATTAGCATCGGCTACGGTACCCACTTTCATATCGTCAACAATCACAACTTCATTTGCAACAACTTCTCCAACAACAACAACAATAAAACCATCATTCATCACTACACCATTGTTAACCAAGGTAAATACTGAACAAACAAATCTCTTGTGGCTTCTATTCACCTCAACGATTATCGTAACAGTTTGCTAAACTCTATGCTAAACGTTCAAAATTATGTTAATATTATATATGTAAAGCAAAGTATAAAAGTATGAAAATATTAGCTGAACGTGGTGTATTTCCTATAATGCTTTGACTATTGTCCGTTTGTATTGTAAGTTCGTTATTCACCTCGTTTAGTACTTACCTCTATATATTTAGTATACATATACATATGTATATACTAAATGCACTAGGCTTGTGAGTGCTTAAAATATATGTAGTATATACATATTGTGTTCCTCGCGGTCGCATATAATGTAAAAATGTTTAGGTTATGTTTTATTTTGTTCCTTCTATTTAGTTAAAAATACTAGTGGATATACATTTACCACAAAATCATGTTAAACAAATAGCCAGCGAATTAGTAAATATTCTTCACAGCACAAATATGCTAGAAAGCATATAAATATATATTTTAGAATGAAAAAATTATTGATAGTTTTTAAATCTTTGAATTTATTTATTTAATTTATTATTATTATTTTTTTATTTGTTATTTTATTTTATAGAACTATTTTTATTTTTTATTATTTTAATTTAATTTTTCTTACTCAATTAATTTATTTTAACCTTTTTTTAATTCTTATTTCAAAAAAAAAAATTTATTCAATTAACTTTTAATATATTATTAATATACCCTGAACAGGGAATTCTAAGTTTGCCACGATTTTTGCAACACCCAAAAGGAAATGTCCGTAAGTCTGCCTGTCTGTATATACAATGTGCGTTCCAAAGTAAACAGGACTTTTAAAAAAAAGACAGAACAAATGGTTTTATCGAGCATGTCGGACGAGTGTTTCAGCTCGTTGCCCGGTATGGCCGCCTGTATGCCGGCGCAAGCCTTTTGAATGGCCTCCACGTCTGCATAACGCTTTCCTTTCATCGGCAAATGCATTTTTCCGAAAAGGTAGAAGTCGCGCGGTGCCATATCAGGTGAATACGAGGAGTGGTTGACGCCAACTTCCATCTTCGCGATATTCGGGCCGAACACGTCGAATACGGCGCACCAAACGCTTCAAAACTCCAAGGTAGAATACCGCATTAACGTTTTGGCCGGGTGGAACAAATTCTTTGTGGACAATACCCTTGGAATCATAAAAAAAATGCTTTCTCCAGGCGCGATTTTTTGGGTTTCGGCTCATTTCTCATTTATGTCTTCACGACCACTTTGAAAACGTTGAAACCACCTCGCTTAAAACGCAATAACTTCACTTTCAATAGATGAAATGTCATGAAATTTTTACTGGAAGTCGATAAAGGATATCAGATTCTAACGCACTAGTCGACATATAGATGGCGCCACTAGAGTTTACTTTTTTACTGTTTACTTTGGAACGCACCTTGTATGTCTCTTAGTTTTTGAGATATCGATCTGAAATTTTGTACACGTCCTTTTTCCTCCAAGAAGCTGCTCATTTGTCGGAATTGATAGCGGACCACTATAACATATAGCTGCCATACAAACTGAACGATCAGAATTAAGTGCTTGTATGGATGTTTCGTGTATGCACGAAATTCGGCATCAGTTATTGTCTAAAGAAATGGCGCAGTTTCCAAAGAAATTGTTGAGATCGGACCACTATAACATATAGCTGCCATACAAACAGAACGATCAAAGTATATCAAATTCTTGTATAAAAACCCTTTTGATTTAGAAATATAACTTCACGAAATTTGGTACAGATTATTCTTAAAGTCAACCTAACGATATCCGAACAAATTCTTCTGATCGGATGAATATAGCAATAGCTGCCGTACAAACTGACAAATTTAAGTTTTGTATTGAAACCTTTTTTATTTATGAAACATATTCTAGCTTCTGTACAACCAAAGTTAACGGTTTTTCTCGTTTTTTTTAATGGTTAATTTATTTTTTATCAATAAAAATTGTTTTATTTTTTATTATAAGGTTTATATATTTTCCATTTTTTGTTTTTTAATTTTGTTAATTTTATTATTAAGTAATAAAAACTGTTTTATTTTCTATTTAATTATGTATTATTTATTATTCATTTTTACTTAGATATACTTTTTTGTTTTCTAATTGGTTACTTATTTGATTAATTTTAATTGTTGTAATTTTTTTAATAATAAAAAAAGATTTTTTAATTTTTAGTTTAGAAAATTTTTAATTTGAAATAATTTTTCTTATTTTATTTAAGTTTTATTAAGTTTGCCAATTTCAATTTTTTCTTCTATACCTCAAGCAATTAAGTAATCTAATTTTTTATGTAATTTTTTTTAATGTGTTATATTTCTTAATTACTTAATTAAACATTTTATTTTTCTAATTTTTTGTGTTTACTAATTTTAATTTTTTTCTCATTTACCTTAATTAACTAATTATTTAAAATTTTTTTATTTAATTTTTAATTTAGTTAATTATAATTTTTTTTCCTATTTACCTTAATTAAACTTTTTTATGTAATTTTTGTATTTAATTAATTTTTGTATATATATTTTTTTAATTATTGTTTTTAATTTGTGGGTAATGAAGAGGAATTTAGTCTCGAAAAAAACAACAAGCCTCTGCTCTAAATCCATTTTTTACCGTTATACAATACCATTGTATAAATTTCAGCTCTAAATGGTTTGCATCGTTTGTTGTAAAAAGCACGAACGTTTTCATGACCTTTTTGGTTAACAATTTATAATTTCTCCGTAAACTATAATTTTTGATTGGTTTTGAATTTAGAATTATAGTAATAGTGAACGTATTCGGATAGCTACGAAATCAAATACAACCTGATATGATAAAGACATCTCCATAGCTTCTATAATATTCATATATGTAAGTACTAGGTCTATAAAGTGTTTCTAGCAAGCTGATTGAGCTGATTGATGTAGATTCTCTTGCCACAGCATACCAATTTATACAGCTCAGCGTAGTACTAAAAATTGCCAACTTTTTTAAACCACAAGTTATTTATAACGTCCTCTCCTCTCTATAAGTTCTACGCAAGAAATTTAAACAGGGTCCAAATAGCGTGGACGACAGCTTATTAGAAGTCTGGAGCGGTACTCGTTTTCTGGCATTTTTGATAAAACTATATGCTATACTCACGAATAAAATATTTTACTCCACATTTAACCTCAGTTTTTTCATTAATTTGACTCTTCTCAGCAAACAGACAGACCGACTCGTGCTTTTATATGATTTGTAAGGTTAGAATCATATAAAAGCACGAATTTAAATAAAATGAAGGCATTCATATTTTAATTAATTTAATGAGTTAACGAAACTTCTTCAAGAGTCAAATGGAATTAACAAGTGTCTTCTGCAATAATGCAAGGTTTTATAACTTTTTACTCAGGCTTACAAAGTAATTGTTAGTAACAGAAGCTCTACGTTTGAACCTGATTTTGAAATTCAATATGCGAACTGTCACATTTTTAAAACTTTTGAGAGAGTATTCTCTCTCCCTTGCTCTCTAATTGCTGAGTCTAGTCTGCGCTCATTTGGAATCCAATTAATATTAGGATTTAGCTACCGTAGTGTTAACTGTAACTTAAAAACTATAAAAATATTACCTGTACAAACGAACTCAGTAAAATATATCTTATTTTTTGTTGTTGTTCTTTATCCACCATATACATACATATATATTATATTTGTTGGGAAAAAAAAATGTATAATTCACAAAATATATGTGTTATTGATTGTCTATTAACACTAATATGGATGCCAAGTGCAGTTAGAACGTGTGCAACAACAATCACAACAACAGCAAATACTTAAACAAACAACAAAAATATTTGATAACAACACCTTTCCGACGCAGACGCCAAAAGGCGGAGCAAATGCGGAAGAAGCCATTAGAAATGGCGCAGAGACCGCAACAACAACAACAATTATGTATGTGCCAACGGCAGAAACAACAACGAGCAGTGATACAACAACAACAGCGACTTTAACGACAACAAACGCTGAAAGCGTCGTGAGAAAGGTGAAGAACCGTTTTGTAGAACCACTTGAAGAAAGCTATGAAATACGTTTTATTTCGAACTATAAAGCTTGGAATGTGTAAAAAGATATTAAAAACAACAACAATTCTACTACATACAAATCAAAAAGATAGAAAATTGTGAAATTTCCCGCTTGAAAGTTGTGTGGAAAAGCGCAAATATTGTTGTATTGGCCATGCAAATTATTGAACGCATGTTTTGAAAAATCAAGAAACAAAAGCAAAAAACAAAAAAAATGCACTTTTTATTAGCACTTCAACTGCCCAGGTCACCTCTAGCGCTCAATCCAAGCACCCAAGCCCAACAACACCAGGCGCCTGCATGTCGTTAGTTACTCCCACATAGCTATACACATACATACATGCTCGTACATACGCAAAGTAGCGCATGGTCCACTGTTTAGCAAATTGGCGTGCTTTGCAAACGCATTTATGCTCAACAAAGCACCAATCATGACCCAACACCGTTCCGCCACCAACTTTCCTCGAATGATTGTGTCCAATTGTTTTCTCCACAACTTTTCTTACGGATACGCGCATATCCCACGTTTACATATTGAAATGCTAATCACGTATAACTGTTGCACTGTTGCACTCTTGCACATTCACACTTCATAATGGTAGTTGTTAATTGCTTTTCTGTTATTTTGCCAATTATGCACATTTCTTATTGTTTTTGTATTACTTTTAGCATTGTACATTTGTGTGTATGTGTGACCATCCTCTTTATGTTTTATATGTCTAAAAATATTGTATTATCGTAGACTAACATTTCTCAATATTAATAGTGTATAACTATAAATATGTACAGCCATTGACAACTAATTGGAAACGCTGCGAAAACTAATGTAAATGCGTTGTAGAATTATTCGTGAAATATATTTCCATTTATTCTTATATAATTTTATTATTATTTATTTATTTTATTTTATTATTATTATTATTATTTAACGGAGCCACTGCCGTTATTTCAGCAATTGTTCGAATAATGACTTCGAATTAGAAATGTGAGTTTAGTTACACTTCCTTAAACGTTTCTTATACAGTTTGTAATATTTAACAATATTTCGCGAACGGTGGCAACTCTGTTCTGAATGATATCTAAATCGAATATTTTTCCTTTGTTTTCCGGAGAGATTTCACACATTTTCTAAAGTTTGACACAGTTTTATTTTTATCATAAGGTGGCAACTCAGTTCCAACTGATATTGAAAGTAAATAATTATCGCAATCTTTTTGAAGATTTTTTTTTAATTTGTGCGTATAGCATACATTTTGTATTATATTTACGATAGGTGGCAACTCTTTTTTAAAAAATAACCAAAAAAGCAAGCAACAACTTTAACCTCGGTTGCATTTAAGCTATAATACCCTTAACAAATATTATACAAAAGATTGCTTACAAGAACTTGATTCCGATTCTTAAGTTTGTATGGCAGATGTATGCTATAGTGATACAATCTAACGATTTCTTTGGAAATTGCAATATTGTCTTAGATAATAATCCATACCAAATTTCGAGAAGATGTTTCGTCAAATTACAAAGTTTTCCATACAAATACTTGGTTCCGATCGTTCAGTTTGTATGACAGCTATATGTTATAGTGGTCCGATATCGGCGGTTTCGACAAATAAACAGATTTTTGGGGAGAAATTAACGTGTGTAAAATTTCGTATTGAAATCTGAAAGAATATTTCGCGTATATACTAACATACGGACGGACGGACAGATAGACAGATATGGCTAAATCGATAGAGCTCGTCATGCTGATCATTTAGATATATATTTTATAGGGTTTCTGGGGGCTCATTCTGAGTGTTACAAGCTTCGTGACAAACTTAATATACCCTGTTGAGAGTATTAAGATTATTCCTTATAAACTTTCTGATAGGCTTTCCTCAACTCTTTCCTTTTCTAGCCACACATATTGTTATATTTTGCTCAGTTTTACTTTATTTTCGAGATATGGCCTTGAGAAAATACAATTGTCGTCATACCTTAAGAATCTATTGAAATTATCAAGTAAAGTAGAGCAATAAGTTCGTCCGTAAAATTGCTTTTGTGTACTTAAAACATTACCTCGAATGTCAAAATAATCCAGAGTGCGAAAGATTTTACAACAAATATAATTTGGAATAACGTCAAGACCGTATTTTACAAAAGATGATAGATTTGACAGATGACAGAAAGATCCAAATATATTAGAAAAATTTAGGTCCTATTTTCCGAAATGCCAATTTTTACGTCCGAGAAAGGAAAGATTAGATTTGTAAAGGCCTTATAATAAACTATTTCGTTTCAGTCGGTAAAAAAGACTAAAACTATATTCTAGACTTCACAGGTTCCAGAGAAGTCACAACGATTGGCCTCAAAGGGTCTCACGTCATATGCTATTTGAGTAAAAATAATACTATATATATTTTTTTATACCCTTAATGGGGTATATTAAATTTGCTACGAAGTTTGTAACATCTGGAAAGTAACGTCCGAGACCCTATAAACTATATATATATAAATTAGCGACATGACGAGCTGGGTCAATTTAGCCATGTCCGTTTGTCTGGTTCTTCAGTTTTTGAGATATTGATCCGAAATTTTGCACACGACCTTTTCTCTCCAAGAAACTGCTGATTTGTCAGCACTGTCTATATCAGACCACTATAGCATATAGCTGCCATACAAACTGAAGGAAGGAAACAAGACCTTTTAAGAAATCTTTTGTATTTATGAAGGGTATTATAGCTTTGGTGCAACCGAGGTCAACGTTTTTTCTTGTTTTTGACTAAAGGTTATAAATGAAAGTTTTTAAAGCGTTTCTAATTAGTCGTCAATGGGTGGAAATATATATATTTGGTGTATTTGTGTCTTATGGATCCAATATTATAAAAATTTTGTATAATTAACAGTATAGTAGTTAAAATGGAAAAAATAGCAAATTAAAGGGTAACAGTGTTAATGAAAAAATATACATATTTTTTATAAAAATAAAAAATAAAAAATTTTCTATAAAAATATTTAAAAAATAAAATCTTAGAATAAATTATTAAATATCTACTTCGTTGCTGTCTCAATCTTAAACTGCTATTATTTCAATAGCTATTGTACATAGCTGTCGCACATACATATATAGCTACATGCCTAGTTCATATGCATGACTTATAGAATTATTGTCGTACGTAAATGTTCAAATATTTCCATATATTTCTTCATACACACATACGTATATTGCATAAAATCGAAATATTGCTGGCATGAAATATCGATATCGAAAATGTTTACTCGTCCAAGTTATATGAGATAATTTCGTTTATTTTATTTTTGCAAAAATATCAACAAATCAACACACGATTGCCACAAACAACATTTTGTCAAACAACGAAACACCATTAGGACGATAACGAGACAAACACTTTGTTCTCCGAATCAGATGTGAGTCGCACGGTGAGTCAAGTTTTATAATTCAAACTTGTAACGCTGTTTTAATGTGACTTTATTTACCGACCTTTAGCCTCCGACTACACCGCAAGGTTCTGATGCTGCCTCGCCTACTTCTTCGCTAACCTCACCAACAACTTCCACTTTTGGCACAACGCCATCTTCCGTGAGCACTGATGCTACAGCGCCAACGCTGCCCTCTACCGACTATGTGGAGCCCAAAGTGGAGAATACCCCGCCAATGATACGTACGCGTCTGCAAAAATTCGCTGTGACCTCAGGCAAGGCCTTCTCGTACTCAGTGCCACAGGATGCCTTCTACGATACGGAGGATCTGACAAACCTGCGCTTAGATTTGACAGATAAGGATGATCGTGAATTGAAGGCGTCATCGTGGTTACAATTCAACCCCGAAACACATGTACTTTATGGATTGTGAGTGAACATTTTTTAATTATTTATATCTATTTATGGTTCGTATGATCGTTGTTCTTGTACCTTCCTGAATATGCAATTTTTGTAACTTCAAGTAGTAAAACTTATCAGAAAATATTTTGAAATGTTTAGAAAGCTAAGCTGAGTAGATCCAGGCTAGGTTTTTGTACTCTGAGCAGGGTCCATGTCCGTATGTCTGTATATACGCGAACTAGTCCCACAGTTTTTGAGATATCGATCTAAAATTTTGCACACGTGCTTTTCTTCCCTAGAATCTGCTCATTAGTCAGACCACTATAACATACAGCTACGTTATAAACTGAACGATCGGAATCAAGTCCTTGTATGGGAAACTTTCTTATTTGAAGAGATATCTTCACGAAATTTGGCATGGATGGTTTTTTAAGGCATCTGTACTATATCCGAAGAAATTCCAGAAGAAGAAACCACTATAGCATATAGCTGCCATACAAGCTCAAGTTCTTGTATGGAATCGTTTGCGGTTTAATAGTAAAGTTGTCAGAACCAATCAAACCAGACATCTAGGCCAAACAATTCTCAATATTGCAATTTTGCCTCAAAGGTATGAAATTTCTCTCACTTTCTATTTTTCAAGGTTAACAAGTACAGTTGTCGAGTGGCATAAAGCTCCCATACCAACAAAATAAGATTTTGCGTATAATATAAGGTTGTCATATATCTCCCTTCCGCTTTTTTGTCTTTTGAATTTCGCGGCTATGTACAAAGCGCTACAGAGTTCGTATCTAGCAACACTATACATAATTTGAAAGGTCTTGACATAACCTACAAAACAACGCTATGCATGATTAGTTTGGATATTGCGTTCAACAGTTATAGACGTGTAAACATGGAGTTCACTAACGCCGAAATTCGCGCTATTTTAAAGTTTTCCTTCGTTAAAGGCAAATCCGCTAGAGAAACGTTCCGTGAGATTAATAGTGTTTTGGGGGATGGTACTCTATCACTTCGAACCGCGGAGGAATGGTTTCGACGATTCAGAGCCGGTGAAAACGACACCATGGATAAGCCAGCCGGCGGAAGACCTGTGACGACAAATACCGATCAAATCATGGAATACATCGAGTTAGACCGGCATATGGCATCTCGTGACATCGCCCAGGAGATGGGAGTTAGTCACCAAACCATTTTGAACCATCTGCAGAAGGCTGGATACAAAAAAAAGTTTGATGTTTGGGTGCCGCATAATTTGACGCAAAAAAACCTTCTGGACCGAATCAACGCCTGCGATATGCTGCTGAAACGGAACGAACTCGTCCCATTCTTGAAGCGGATGGTGACTGGCGACGAAAAATGGATCACATACGACAATATCAAGCGAAAACGGTCGTGGTCGAAGGCCGGTGAATCGTCCCAAACAGTGGCCAAGCCGGGATTGACGGCCAGGAAGGTTTTGCTGTGTGTTTGGTGGGATTGGAAGGGAATCATCCACTATGAGCTGCTCCCATATGGCCAGACGCTTAATTCTACCATCTACTGCGAACAACTGGACCGCTTGAAGCAGGCGATCGACCAGAAGCGTCCAGAATTGGCCAACAGGAAGGGTGTAGTGTTCCACCAGGACAACGCCAGACCACACACTTCGTTGATGACTCGTCAGAAGCTACGGGAGCTCGGATGGGAGGTTTTATCGCATCCACCATATAGCCCGGACGTAGCGCCAAGTGATTACCACCTGTTCCTGTCCATGGCGAATGCCCTTGGTGGTGTGAAGTTGAACTTAGGAAGATAAAAATACGAAGTATAATTATACAAGTATTGTAATTGAATATGAACAGCAAGTGGACAGTGAAAATCACTATAAATATAACATAGTGCTCCCGTATAAAAGTTCGTTTGAAAATTATATTTCGGGTTATAACTGTCTCAATTAAACAGTTAGAAAAACGAAATTTCGTGCACTTTGCGCATATCGTAGTTAGAATATGGACAGTGAAAACTTTCTAGATCCGTTGACTATAGCATATAGCTCCCATATCAACATTTTTTAAAAACAATGTTTCACATTTTATCTTCTCCAATAAGGTAGTTGAGAACACGAAATTTCATAATATTTTCCCTGGTAATATATAGAAAATTAACTGTGAAAATGATGAACGTAGGTGACTATAACATAATGCTGCCATATAAAGGATTATAATTCATCCAATTGCACAGTTAAGAAAACGAAATTTCGTACGTTTTGCGTTTACCGTAATTATAATATGCACAGTGAAAATGTTTAAGATCGGTTGTCGCTAAAATATAGCTCCCCTGTAAAAGATTGTTTAAAAATGAGATTTTGCGTTATAAATTATTTATTTATATAGATGAGGTACTAAAATTTTGAAATATATTTAATTAACACGATATAAAGTAGATAGCGAGCATCAAAAAAGTTGGATAACTATAACATATAGCTCCCATATTACGTATTTTTCGAACTGATTAATTTTACACCTGGAATGTAATAATATTTAATTGTATGAAGCTCAATTGTCCATGTTTTTCGCATATTATAAGATCTTATAACATATTTTCTTCACACGCCTCCTTCTAGACCCCTCGATGATTCTGTTTCAAAATGGCATTACCGCTTAACGGCAACCGATTCTGGCAATGATTCAGTAACGGAAACTCTAGAAATATCTGTGCAACAGCATCGCGGTGTACGTACCGTTAATCACGAGATAAGTATTACCGTTAAGATCAACGAGAAGAATATACACAGCATTGACTGGCAGCTTAAATTAATGCGCGGTAAGCAGCTTCGATTCAATATCTATTTATACCAGCTAATAACTAGTCATTCGTAATTTCCAGATGTCGCATCAACGCTGGGTGATGAAAACACCAACTCGTTGGTTGTACGCGAGATACGTCCGATGCCTCAGGATCCAAATACCGCTACTTTTGTGTACTTCAATGAAACTTTCCCCACTAACGAGTGCCCGGAGTCGGAGCTCAATAAGCTGGTCAAGCGTTTAGATGCCAGCCGTTTAAGCGATTTGGTGTACCCTACACTGAGCGTCAAATCAATAACGGGTCAGCTGATTGGCGCTTGCCAGAAATCGCACATTACCAAACCGAAACCAACGACACATATGGCGACAAACGTGCCACCGCTGCCACGCAATCAAGTAGATCGTGTTAATGCTACCGTCGGTCATTTGCTCGTTTTCAAAGTACCCAGCGATACGTTCTACGATCCGAATGATAACGAACAACTGACATTAACGCTGAAGACGAAGGACCACAAAGAGCTCAACCCGCGTCATTGGTTACAGTTCGATTCAAAGAATCAGGAATTTTATGGCATACCAAAGAGTGGTGATGCCGGCTCAGAGGAATACTTGCTCGTGGCACAAGATGCTGGCGGCTTGAGCGCAACCGACGCTTTGGTTGTGGTGGTGAATCATGCACCCAAAAAAGAATTTAGCGTCTACTTTAAAGCCTATCTGGCCATACGACACGAGCAATTCAATGCAGATCTGCAGCGTAAATTTGTGGAACGCATTGCTCAACTCTTCGGCGATCAAACTACACAGTACGTGCAAATACGTTCAGTGACAACGCATCATGACTCGGATAGCACAATTGTGAATTTCTACAATACGAGCTTGTACAAGTCGCATAATCGTTGTCCCGAAGAGGAAATCGAGGCTGTTCGTAGCGTATACCTAATCAAGGATCATATGGTGCGCGATCATGTGAAAAAGATTTTAGGACCTGAATTGAACCTGACCAATGTACAAGCATTGCCGTTGGGCTTGTGCCATCGTAAGTTCGAATTTTTATTATATTTTTCATAATATTCGTAAATATATAATAATTATTATTTTTAGCACAAACTGACATCATCCACCGTGACTATGTGCCCACGAAACCCGATCAACCAACTCTAAAATCGAGCTTCAGCGAAGAGTATATGTACACAATCATCTTGCCGGCGGTGATTATTGTCAGCATGATCATAATTGCTTGCCTCATTGCGTGTTGTCTACATCGTCGTCGTCGCAAGAGCGGCAAAATGGAATTGGGTGAGTTATTTGACTCAGCAAAAATTAAAAATTAGCATATTTTCAAGATGTGATACATATAAGTAGATAAATCTGAATTGTTCAGACTAGTTAACTTTAGACGGTAGGCTAGGATTATATTTAAAGTGTATTGTAAAATAAATCTTAATTGAACACTTAATTGAGTTAGAACTTAGAAGTAAGTGGAATTTATTGGAAATCCGTTTTTTTTAAACTTATGTTTTTTTCCGGAATTCCAATGTCACGACACCTTATTCGTCCGTCTTAAGCTAATTCAACGGATATCTTAAATTTACCGTTATGTAAACATGATAATACATACTTTATCTTTAGACAGCCTTTAATAAAACCATCAAGCCCTGCTGTAGATCCGCTAAAGTGTAGTCATTTGGTTGTTTGAATCTTTTCTAATCGAATATTTGCAATCGATCATCATCTGACATCGCCGTATTCCTTTAGTTAACCTTATTAAAATAACTTTAAACTTTTAAATTATTCATCTCCTTTATGCCAGCTGTGAGATTGTGAGGGCTTAATACGCTTCTCCGGGTCAATAAGAATCAAGTTCAGAAAAATTTCAAGGCTCTCATTTGAACAAAAGACCTACTAACTGACCTGCTAACTCAGCTTGATAATAACAGACTGAACTCTCCGGTAAGCGTTACTAGGTAAAGGGTAAAAAACCTGGCTAGTTCTCACTTTTCTTATCATATATTTCTGAGTAAGTGTGCTATGAGGCTTTCGCTGCTTTAGTTGGCTTCGATGCCTTATTCGGTTATTGTTGGTGTACGCATATACATCTATGTTTGGTCAAACCTAAAGCTCGGTCTGTTCAGGTAAAATTTGTACGACGATACAAGGTCGACCGATTTTAAAACTTTCAAGACAATTAGTGATTTTTTTTTTAACGGCAGGCTCTTTGTTCTGACTTGCAGTGGTATCTCAAAAGAATCATTACTACTTTCTCTAACTTAACCTGACCTAACCTAGAATTAAAGAAAAGTATTTACGATCCTGTGATGCTCGTAATACTGTTTACCTTTTCAAATTATTTCTACAATTCTGTAATGTTAATGATTTTTATTTTATTTATTTTCATATAGGCGATGAAGAAGAGCGTAGATCGTTCCGCAAGAAGAATATACCTGTCATTTTCCAAGATGAATTGGACGAAAAACCCGAAATCGGCAATAAGAGCCCAATCATATTGAAGGACGAGAAGCCGCCATTGTTGCCACCCTCTTACAATACGTCCAACATGAATGGTGAGTGCGCTTTTGTGAGCTTTTAATATTAATGAGTTGCGAAGCTAATTTAAAAATTCTACTATTTTTACGCGTTTCAGGCGACAACGATGTAGATGAATATGTGCCACCGCCCGCTGTTGTCGTAGGAGGACGCGAAGCGCGGGGGAAATCACCAGCAACGCCATCATATCGAAAGCCGCCACCATATGTTTCGCCATAAAAATGTGAATTGTGGAATGTGGAGAGCAAAAGTTTATGGCGAAAAACGGGAATCTCCCAGCTACTGCTAAATTGCAACAAAATGGAAACTTTACTACTTAATTCACTACATAAACATTTTTTTTCGTTTTAAGTTATATTATATATATACATATATAAATAAATATTAAGTCTATACATATATATATAGCATAGGTGATAGAGCAAAGCTACGAACGGCAGTTAAGTAGTGAAAACGACGAGCAGCTATTATGGCAAATCATTACAAAATGACACCTCAAACTGTCGGAACTAATGAACAAAAATGTTGTAATAATTTAACAATCAAATATACAACAAACGTTAACTCAACACAACTACATTTAATTATATTATTTTCTTTCTAATTTATTAAAAAAAAAAAAACTCGAAAAACAACTCGACAACTAACGGTTTAAATACTTTGGCAAAAAAAAAATATATTAACAATAACACAAATTAATATAATAAGAATGATTTGAAAAAAATTATTTTAGTGGCTAAATATCATATATTTACTATAGTTTAGCGGTTAGTTTGTGGAAAACCTCAAAAATTGACTTTAATTTTCTTTAAAAATAACGGATAACCGTGCTCGCGGCCAACTGGCAGAAATTGTGCACAAAAGCGAGTTTGTAATCACCCTGTATGTGCTGACTTTACTCTAAAACAGAACCTTTGCGTTAAGTGCTAAAGGTGCTTCCGCAAACTAAAATATATACAGTTAGAGTATTTTACAGTTACGATATTTTAACTAACGGCGTTGCGTAACATAGTTGTATTGTAATCAAAATGAAAACGTGTCACAATCATTATTAATATGCATGTGTGTTACTTAAGATTTTTCACTTGTATAACAAAGCGAAAGCGAAACAAAAAACAAAAAAACATAAATTTAAAAAGAGGTTAATTAAGAAATGTCGGATAATCAAGCGCGTTTATACAAAAGCCATTTTCGTATTTTCATAACTATGTATGATGAGTTGAAACGTTTTGTATTTGTATTTGTAAGAAGACACGAAAAATTGTAGACGAATGTCTACGCCGCATAAGAAACGCTAACCAACAACAAAGATGCTAAATTCAAAATACATTTTTACCTACCAGCACACACTCAGCATGGTGATTTGATTTTTATAACAGCATTAAAAGATTTCGAAAAAAATATTAAAAAGATTTGGAATTGAATAGATTTCAAAAAGAAAATATTGAAAAGATTTCGTAAAAAATTTTTGAAAAGATTTCAAAAAAAATTTTTGTGAAAAGGTTTAGAAAAAAAAATACTGAACAGATTTCTAAAAAAAAATTTTTGATAACAAAACCGATAATTAAACGATAGTAGTAGGTAGTAGATCGTACTCAAAGTAGTACAAATCAATACTTTTGCAAATTTAGTATTTTTTTTGTAATTCCGATATTTGTTTTTGCAAGCGTGGTGGCAAAAGAACGCTCAAATCGGCAAATAAAAAACAAAAAAAATATAATAGTTTTTATTTTTAATATAAATGTTTTAAGTTTTATTAAAAAAATTTGTATATATTTTTTTAAATTTTTTAAACTATTAGTTAATTATTATTTTTTGTGTTATACATTTTTTAGATTTTTCATTATTTTTTTAAAATTTTTTTATAATAAAATTTTTTAATTATTTAGTATCAATTTTATTTTTCTTATAATGTTTTTTGTTTATTTTATTATTATTATTTTTTATTTCTTATATTATTTTGTGCTTTATTTTAATATATTTTTTTGTTTTTAATTTTTATCAGTGTTTTTTAGTTGAATTAAATTTTTTTGTTGTTATTGTTGTTTTGCGAACCTTTTGCTGCATCTGTTCGAAACTATGGCTATAAGTTTTCTTAAGCGAGGTTCTTCTGCTGCTCGTTTAGTCGGACACAGCGTTTTGCAGACATACTTTTGTATTCTTTTGTTCTTTATGTATATGATTCGCAAAAAACAACAGAAAATTGTTTAATTATACAAATAATAAAAATTTTTGCAAAATTTACTGCCAATTTGATTTACACACACACACACATACATACATATCTATAGATGCAGTTTTAAGTTTTAGCGTATTATGTTGAATTTTGAGCAATCACTACTTTATACTTTACAAACATACATATATATACATATAAATACATATGTATTTTTTTGTAATTTATATTAGTGCTTAAATAATTTTTATATTTATACACCCAATTCATAAATACATACATACTACTTATATTTTAATTATGAAAATCAATCAAAATGTAAAACAACAAAAAAAAAACAAATACTTTATGTTAAACACGACAAATGAACGATATTTTGTTTTTGGTGTTTTTAGTTGTAAAAATAAATATCTCGAAAATTCGTCAAGTGAAAACAACAAATGGTCGCATAAAAAGATAGCGTTAATATCGAAAGTTATAGATAATAAAATGCCAAAGATAAATGTTGTTGTAATTTTATTTCATTTTAAGTTTTCGAGAGAAGACTGGTGGCTTGCGCTTATTATGACGTGCATTCGAAAATACAAATTCGATCTTCGAATCCGGGTCTAAGCTGTTTTATTGCACTTTTTTACGAAAAAATTTTCAAAACTAAACTTATATAAATACAATATTTTTGCATATCGGTTTGGTTTGATTTTGTTTAAAACGAATTTCTAACGTTGCATGTTACATAACATAAGGTTTGTAAAAGTAATTTTCAAACTTATGTACATACACATATAAACTGAGGCGGCTTCAAATGCCATGATATGTTGAAAAAAAGATTAATGAAAAGGTAAAAGTGAAAGCATGCAAAAAAAAATCCGAAACTTACTCCAGATAAATATTCTTGGAGGGATTAGGAATTAGAAAAAATTAATTTATGAACCTATGTGTCTAAAGTTGTGCGTCAATACAGTTGAGGAAATAATATACATTTAAGCACTATTTCATATATTTTTCAAAAATTTTTTACATACACATATGCATTATTAAATTCATTAATTTATTTTGAATTATGAAGTTAGGTAAGGTTCCGCTATATGTGGAATATTATGAATATTTGTTGGCAAGAAGGACATTTTTTTGGTGAAAGATGGGAGAAAGTACAAGGAAGCTATTAATACCACTGTGGCTAGTGGAGTTTTAAAAATGATTTCACAACTTTTTTTTAATTGAATTATTAATTAAAATTAAATTAAATAAATATAATTTTTTAATATACAAAGTAATAGGTTTTTGAATAAAAATCAGTTCTTTTTGCTAATTTTCACTTAATATAAAATCGTAAAAAATATTATTTAAAGTTTAAGAGGAGTCGCCCACATAATAAACATTATTTTGCATGCTTTAAAATTGTATAAATATTTTTTATAATAATAAATTGGTTCTATAGAACGTAAATGAAGCTGCAAATTTACGTTTGCCTTTGTTTACGTCTTTATAGTTATAAAAAATCACTTGATTTAGTAATAATTTATGTGGAAAATTCACTTAAAGGGTGACATGGGCTTCCCGGCTTTAAAAAATCGATTTTTTTATTATCGTATTTAATTCAATCTAGAGATGGATTGTAGATTATTGTCCTAAATGCTCAAGTTAACCCGAGTAATAGTTTTGGAGATACTAGAAAAGCTACGCACTCGAGGTCAGCTACATATATAGTCACTAAAAACTGTAAACGCGTTTTTTTGGAAACTGTTGTTGGTTGGTTGTCAAGATTTGTTACGAATTACTCAACCGATTTAAATGGAATTTTACACAAGTCTGCGAGATATAAGAGGTGCTTGAACGAAGGTTTTTTTTTTATTTTATTTTACAATTATTAAAAAAAAACATCGACAAATTTCGACCAAAATTTGCAAATTTTTTTTGTAAAACGTCTTCCCAAAATACAATTTTAATTGTTTTGTTTTTCCTTCGTCCTATATCTAGTTTATGGTCTTAATTACAACACGTATTTTTGATAATATAATCCTGTAAGAGGTTCTGCTGTCAACGCGGAGGCACATTTTTATCGCCGAGTTTTGAATATTTTCCTTTGAAAATTTCAAAAAATCTTTGTAAAATATCTATCTTTGGAATAATAAAAATTTTGAATAAAATATTTAATTTTTATATGAAATTTTTTAAATAAAATAAAATTATTGAAAATAGGCCGGTTTTTGGTCGAGGAAACCCATGTAACCCATAATTAATGTATATACATACATATGTCCCATTTTTAACATTATCTCAAAATTAATATTTTAATAATAGTTTTTTTATAAAATAATAATTGAACTTATGATATTCTCATACTAATCTAATGGAAAAATGCAACAATGACTATGACTTAATTCGAGCATATCACACATAAATTAATTAACTTTTTTTTTATCAGTATACATTTTTTTATGTTTTTAGTTTTTTGGGCGTGCTTGCATTTATTTATTTTATTTTTATTCGAATTTATTGTACATTGATTTTTTTATTAAAACTATCTAAAACTATTTATATTAACCTTTTCTCAATGCCATATTGCCCAAAATTTATAAAGCGGTTCCTCATGTGGTAAAAAAACAGTTTTCCACGTGTCCGTTTTGGCAGATTTGTTTTTTTTCAAAAATAAAAAGGCAACGAAATTTGTTTCTTAACAAAAAAATTTCATATAAATTTTCGTGTGATAAAAAAAAAAAGATTTCCCATGTGTCCTTTTTTTCTAAAAATTTTTTTTTCATCTTCTTTTTTCAATAGTTTTAAAAACCTTTGTGTCAGTTTAATTATTATTGCTTTAGTGTTGAAAACTAAAAATAATTTAAAAACTTTTTTATTTGAAACAAAGTTAATTTCTGCCAAAAAAAACGCATAGGGTAATTTTTTTAACGGCCTGCAGAACACCTGTATAATTTTTAAGGCAAATCGGAGGGGTGACCTAAACGGAAGTATAGCCATATACTGATTTAATTTACTTTTATTTAATTTAAGTTTTTAAATCCTGAACAGGGTATATTAAGTTTACCACGATGTTTGTAACTCTCAAAAGGAGACTTTATAAACTATATGTCATACATGATCAGCATGACGAACTGAGTCGATTTAGCTATGTCCGTCTTACTGTATGTACGCGAACCGACTCCTCAGTTTTTGAGATATCGATCTGAAATTGTGCACACGTCCTTTCCTTATGTATGTATTTATGTGCATACATTTGTCGGAACCGCCGATAGCGGACCACTATAGTACAAGTATATAGCTGCTATACAAACTGCACGATTTGAATCAACTACTTTTTTGAAAAACTTTTTCATATGACGAGGTATCTTCACGAAATTCGACATGGATTATTGTCCAATGCAACGGCATAATCTCTGAATCTAATCAGACAATTGTAGCACATAGCTGTCATACAAACTGACCGATCAAAATGTCTTTGTATTAAATTTTTTTTTTAATTTTTACAGTATTTTTGTTAATTTTATTTTACACAAAAACTCAAATGTATTATCTGTTGGTATATAATGAATACTTTTTATACTAATTTTTATGTTAATTGCTTGAGAACTTTATTTAAATTTTTAAATTGCTTTAAAAAAATATAAAAAAAAAACACCTTATAATATTTTATTTTTCTTTCACCAATTTCGTCAGCTAAACTTTTTGAAAACTTATTTATATTTAATTATTTAAATATTTAACGAATTAATCATTAGTATTTTGCAGCTTTGCGCTTGTAGGCGCTCAAAAAGCTTCCATCCAAATAAAAACAAAACAAATTATTACATAAATATATACTTGTATATGTAGAAGAAGCAATTAAATATGATTGGCTGAATTTATAAGCGGTTTTAAGTGAATTAAAATAAAGAAAGAAGAGATATTGTAATAAAGGAGGCAAAAAAAAAGAGAAAAAAAAAGATTTTATGTGCTCATACATACATACATGCATACATACATATACCTATGTATTCATATACATATACATCCAGACAAACAACACGTCTGACGCTACTCTTGCATCAAAATCGCAATTAATTACGTTTGTATTTGTAAAACATAGCCATAAAAAAACAAACAAACAAAAAAAACAAATGAGCATCAGCTGATGCTCACATAACGCATAAGGTTATCACTTATGTGTGAGTAAATTGCAGGTTTATTAAAAAAATTTCAGTAAATCAATCATAACCCACCAGCGTTCCTTGAAAATACTAGTTAAAAAAAAATATAAAAAAGAGAATTTTGAATATATAGAAGCGACAACAAATTGCAACAATAAAATTGTTATTTAAGCTACATACATACATATACATCTATACATATATGTGTTTATAAGCTCCTCATTCTCCTCCTCCTCCTCCTCCTGCAACTAATTATATTGTAACTTCGGCGAATTCTAAGCAATCTAAGAATCTCTAAGCATTTCCCTTAAATTTTGTATCATACAAACAAACAACCATTGGAGTTATCAACGCAGTCAACCTAAATACATACATACTTATATAACTCATCTATGAACTTTAAATAATGCACCAAGGAGCGGAGTTGTACACATACACACACACAAAATAAAGTAAACAAATACAATAATTACATATGTAAGTAAATAAGTAAGACGGTTAATGCAAGTAAAAATACACTGAAAGAAACAAAAGTGCAGCGTTGAAATTGATTTAGGTATTTGAAAAGAAAATTTTACATAAAGTATTATAGTGCATGTGTATGTGTGTGCTTAGTAAACCAATAATAATAGGTAGTAAACAATAAAAGTAAAAAATAAATAAAAGTTGAATATAAATTTTGAAAAATAAAAATGTTGACTAAAATTGTCCAATTTTTCAATACTTACATATACATATGAAAAATATATTAAAGGCATACAAAATATTACAAAAAATTATAATTAATAACAATAATAACAACAATAATTGCAGAAACAACTTGGGATTGTCATTACACAAACAAAAAAAATTTAAAAAATTTAAAAATTAATACAAATAAATCATAAATTTATATTAAGAAATCATACAAATTAAAAGGATGAAAAATAAAAAAAATATTATATATTTAAAATATTAACACAATATAAAACACAAAAAAAAATACCAAAACTCTTATGACCAGATTACAGAGATCAATAGCAAGTTAAACGTAATTTCAATATTGTAACTATTATACCAGTGAGTATGATAAGCATTGATGTATTATATACATACATACACGTAATAAGTTTTTTTGTATGAGTACTACAGAGTACTGAGCATAAATATGTATATGAGCGTAGAATTGGTTACTCAACTTAAGAATCGTAATTGCATGGCATTGTGAAGCATGCCGATACTAAATATTTATATATTTTGATAAAATTAAACAAATAAAAACGAAAATACCTAAAGTATAAAGGTTGCGGTGTCGTTTTAAATTTGTTTTGTCTTTAATGGAACAAAATTGACCAAGTTACGAGTGTTTTTATATCGGTCTTATGAACGTTTAACATCAGATTTCAAAGCTTCAAGGCCTTTTCACCACAACTCTCGTTTTTAAAGTTTCGGTGTCCCTCATAACTACAACACCGATCGTTTGAGCACTATTGGATCAGATATTATAGCATTGCCTTGGACAATAATTACTGTCCAAATTTGTGAAGATATCTTGTCAAATAAAAAAGCTTACTTCATAAGAACTTAATTTTCGTTCAGTTTGTGTGACAGTTATATGTTATAGTGGTCCGATACTGGCGATTCTGTCAAATGTCAAATCTTGGGGAGAAAAGAACGTATGCAAAATTTTAGATTGATATCAAAAGAACTGAAGGAATAGTTCCCGTATATACAGACAGACGGGCAGATGGATAGCCGGATTGACTAAATCAACTAAGCTCTTCACGCTGGTCATTTTTATATATATATTATAGAGTATTCGACGTTTTCTTTTGGGTGTTAGAAATTTTGTGACAAACTTAATATACCCGGTTAAGGGTATAAAAATAATAAAAATGGGCCTTGTTTTACACAAACTAACCCTTCTCCACCTTCAAGATATTTTTTGGAAGGTCATGGTATATTATTGGCGGTGAGGAGTTAATTTTAGATGCTTCTTTTTACGTAAAATATAGGTCATCTAGTATGATGGCGTTGTGCTTTAATATTTTTAAAAGTTTGCTATGGAAATATTTCTTTACTCCATTCATAATTGATAAAGGGATTTTAAACGAGGGGCGATTTTTAATCTATTCGAAAGCGAGCATTCGACAGTTCAGATATTGAGTTTGATCTATGATCCTTTGATCTTTAAATTACAGAGCAGGCTCTCTCCGCAGAAAAGTGTCTTTAGGTACTAATTTACTAAAGGTTAGTAGCTGCTGAAATTGTAAGACTATAACATCCATATGGCAGCATAAAATATTTATTTGCATAGTAAATGCAACAATTTAAGTGTCTACACCCAACATGTTATTTTAGATAAGGATGGTTACAGTTTAAATGATCTAACGTTCATTTGTTTATATAAATTCAAGGAAAAAAATAAATCCATTATTTTTCCATTAAACCGTTTTAATATATAACTTGTTGACATTTTGCTGGTAATTCAATAGTGCTTCTCTCATAAATACCTTCGTCTCTTTTGTTAAAAAACTAAGACAGTCGATATTCACGATTGCTTCCTACAGACGGTTCAAATGTACTTACTTTCACGTTTGGACTTGATGATTTATATTATTTTATCGTTACTTTTGACAATTGACCTTCCAGATCTTTGACATCAAAATTACCGCAACGGAATCGACGGAACCAAAATTGCACATGATACTTAGTGAAGCAATCACAAAATTGTCTCAGAAGTTTTTTAGTACACAATTATGCAACATGGATTGGAAGCAATCGGAAACATAATGAAATCCTTCCTACTTGAACTTATAGTCATACATATAGTCGTTTTTCATTAGAAAACTGAAACTGTAAGATAATTTCAAATATCATAAAATGCTGAAGCTCTAATTTCTCTTTTAGTAAACATTTGTGAGGATATTCTCTCCCTACTCAATTAGAAAGCAGCTCTATGTGACACTCTCTTTTGGTTATTTTTCAAGGTATATGTATTGGATCTATAACTACTTATATGTATATTGCGTGCGCCGGTTTGCCGACCGAGAATGAATCAAGCCAATATTCAATACTCTATTTCAGTGAGGGCGTTCTGCATCGGCCGGAACAAATCGGCAACAATCTACATCGAGTAATGCTTCTAAATTGTTCCTCATATTCATACTTTTTTGGCCACCGAGGACGTTATTCGCCTTCCCAGACAAAATCACTGCTTTTAAATCGTGCAGACCAATTTTTACACGTTCGCTTAGATAGAGAATGTTCACCATAAACTTCCATCAAAATACGATGACATTCGACTGTAGAAGAACTCTCAGCAGAAACATTTTTTCAAGCACAAAGTTCCACAAATTTGAGTTAAAAATATTTTTGTTTACACTTCAAATGAATGACATAGAAAATGGACACTAGCTTTCCCAAAGTAGTCCCTATATAGAAATATCGAATCCACCAATTTATTACCGACAAGAAAATTTTTTCATAAAACCCGCCAGATATTATTTTATAAAAATTAAATAATTTGAATTAATTACTATCATGGAGCCCACACTTTTAAACCCTCCAACAAGACTATCATTTAAATGCAATGCAACCGAAGAGAAATCATTATTGCACACGACGAATATATTATTAACTATACATTACAAATACATAATTAAATTCTGGCAAAGTCTACTAATGAAGCCATATTCTCAGCAACATTATTATATTCAACTGCAATAGATTGAATTGATTTGGCTTCATCATGGTATATGTGCCAACAAACAAATATATACTATGAATATATAAATATTTGTACCAACATAGTATATAAATATGTAAACAGAGATACTTGTACTCTGGACTAGTCTTTGTAACCTAGGTTAGGTAAGATTAGGTTAAAAGAACGATACTTGTAACAAAAGCCACTAGAGATTCCACATTAAAAGCTAAAAACGCCAGCCCGTTGTGATGCTTAAAACCAGTAAGTAGTCATATTCTGTCTTTCTGAGGACATATCTAAAGTGTTTCTCCTTTCTTGATTGGCTCGAAGAATGAAGTAGCAGCAAGTCCTTCTTAAGCAAATCAAATTTCGCATTTCCTCCTACAAGTACGACAACAGCTGTTACTACAAGTACATTAAATATTATCAGAGCTGGAGAGTCTAGTTTCATGCGAACAAAGTTTACTCGCTGGTGCAAATGTGTAAATGTCTTAAAACTTAAAAAGGATATTCCCTTGAACATTAAAACAGGTGATAGACTTAAAAAGTGGATTTTTTTATGTCGAGAGAGGCTTTTGTATTTCGAATTCATTCCTATAGCTGTTACTGCCAATCTTGCAAACTTTAAGTTAAGACTTCCAGGTATATTAGAACAGATTTTTCTTCTTTGGGGTAAGCAGACTTTAGAAATCTTTGAGTAGACTTTGGTTTCTTATGCTCAAAACAAAGCTCAAAAATGATGTAAGGTGAAATAATAGCTGATCAACCGAGAATAGTATGTGAAAGTGTTCGAGAAAATAAGGGGTCGATAGTCATATACGCGTACAAGAGCGTTTTGCCTCGACATCGGAACATTAGAAGAAATGCATGGTTTCTTGCGATTCTCTTCTGTTTACAAAACTCAACATTACATTGGATATTCTGTACAAAAGTTTTTCATAACGCTTGCGGAAATGCTACACAATTGAAGTTTTTAAAAAATAAAGGTGTCTGGCATGAATTAGTATTCGTAGGATCTTCCAAAAAATCTCTGAATCTTCCTGAGCTCGATTTCAGCTTAAGTTAGACAAAAGATTTGAATACTAAATAGATGATTATGATTACTCTGAAAGTGAGTAGGCGTGGCCAGCATTTGAGAGTTCCGTTAGTATCACTCACGTTTTTTGTGATATTTCAATTCCACAACACTGAGTCTTTTTTGAATAACCCTTCATAAACATTTTGAAGAAAGACTTGAAGAATTGATTACAAATCGAGGCTTCCGCTTAATATTTCTAGTAGATAACAGTGAAAACATAACTCAATATTTTTTCAATGTTTCTCTAGTTAGGAGTATGAAAATATAGCTCGAGGTTATACTGAATTAAATGATGTTTTTTTCGAGGTAAATTCATATATTATTTTCAGGTTTGACTTACTCTTATAATTTTGACCACAAATGTCCTCTTTTATGGAATTTTGCTAAAACATCTTAACTCGACTTAGTATTTTAACTCTCTCGAGCTTTAAATAAAAATATTCGCACATAATTTTCAATCAATTGCCAATTTAAATCTGTCGTTTCGGGCATACTTTGCCAAGAAATTTGCTCAAGTCTTTAGTTCGTCTATATAAAGTCAATTTAAATGTACTTAAAGGAGAAACTGTAAAAGTAAAATAATTTGATTTACCACAGTCTTTAAATGGCTGACGCATTTTTGGCTACCAATTTAAGATATTATTTAGATTTATATACATATACATATGTACATATGTACATATATATTCATTGACATTTATTTGCACAAAATCATCACTCGCTTTGGCCATTGATTACTTGCAAAAAAACATGATGCGTAGTGATTGCAATTGTTGCTGTCGTTACAGTCAACTGTATCGTTATTATTGTGGTTATTATTATTTTTGTTATTCTTTCCTGTTAACTATGTTTGCGTGGCTGATATTGTCCACAGGTTACTATTGGCACAGATTTGACGGCTGAAAGCAGCGATAAATTGGAGCTGAGCTTCTCGTAAAATAATTTTATATTTAAAAGCATATATATATACTTGTATATATATTATATATATATATGTATGTGTGTGAGAGAAGCCTTGGCAAAAAAATAACGATGTGGTTATTTGTTTTCCTAATGCCAGTAACTATGGAAATATGTAGCTCATTGCAATGTTGCATTAACAGGCGTCTGAGGGTTGTCTAACTTGTCAAGCTTTGGTAACGTGCCACCCTCTCCTTTCTGAAGTTGACATCAACAGCTGTATGGCATTTTCGTGCGAGGGCAATGTAATGAGTTTGAGACTATTTGATTGAATTATACTTTTGTTTCGACAAAAACTACTTTTATTACGAAACGTTGCAAACCAATATATTGAGTCTGTAATAAATTCATATAGATAGATAGAAAAACAGAAATGTTAGGATTCAGTGTTGACTCATTCAATCGACCCAAATCTTTCACTAGCGAACCATTTGTTTAATTTTTGAAACAGAAAATGGTCGTTGACTACTGTCAGTTGGTCTTATGACGGCATTTGCGGTACAAATTTTGCGTTTATATTTTTTTGTAACCAAATTTTTCTGTAAAAT